AGTTTGATTTCATGTGGGAATTAATGTATTTTCTCTGTTTTAAGTTTGAGACTGAAACAAGTCTTCGGGGATGTAATCGCTGCGGCCTGAACGTTCCCCGTTCTCCAGAAGAAAGTCAGAACGTTGCGTCTCCTATATCATTCAGGGTGACCAGCAGATAAACTCCAAAGCTGAGACACATGTGGTGAGTTACTTTAATGATATCATGTGAGGAGAGATGGATTTGGTGAGTCTAACAGAAGCCAGAGTGAATAGTTCTCATTCCTCTCGTAGCTTTTATATGAGAGACGTGCAGCTGTCTGGACAATGGGGCAGATCTCATTAGTTAATCCTCCCTTGAAGGCATCTGATATTTATTAATGCAAAGTCTCCCAGTGTGTGTGTGTGTGTGTGTGTGTGTGTGTGAGTGTGTACTCTGTTCTGTTACCTCTTTGTGAACTTTCCCAGCATAAAGACTGACCTTGTAAGGACAGGTAGACCTCATGGGGACCAAAGCCCAGACCTGATGAGGCAAAACCTCTGAGGTCATGGTTCAGGTTCAGTTAGGTTCTTCCTGAGTTTGTCCACAATGAATGAAAGTCAAATACAAAGTCTTCGAAGTAAAAATCCCAGTCACGATGTCGTAACCATCCGAGGTCGATCACGAGACAATGTGATGTTCTATAGACAGAAGCCAATCGTCTGTATGATATCAACTTTAAGAGAACAGAGGTACTACACTACCCACAATCCTCAGGTGTTACCACGAAAGTCAAGTTGGTTACACGACACTTACGATTCTACTCAAGACATGAAATTCTATACACGTACATACAGGACACAAACTTTTTATTGCAACGCTAAATTAACAACAAGGTTAAATTTAAGAGGAACTGGAAGTCGTAGTAGAAGGGATCATTCGCAATGGTTTATGGGAGTTTTTTTTGCTCATTGTTTGGCTCTGAATCAAAAGTTTTATGAACAGATCTAGAAAAAGGTGTTGTGCTCTGTTGTGTCATGGCTGTGCAGGCTGGATGTTTCTGTTACTCCTTTATTACTGTTATAATCCTTATTACCATCAGTAGCAGTAGTATTAATATGGGCTCTCAGTGTTTATGTACACTAACATAACAATGTGCACGTCTATAGTTCCCTGCATGCTCGCTCCGGTCTTGCTCTGGCAGGGGAAAGGTTAATGTTTAACAGCATGAATGGTTCCACCAACTAATGTGTGAACAAAGCACAATGGCTGCACTGTATAGGCTCCTATTTATTCAGAGTCACTTCCTCCCTTAATAGTCGGCTCCACTTTCCTCACAGGGGAAAAAAAGTAGGTCAAGGAAAAGTCATGTTTGAGGTAATTCTCTCTGGGGGAACCGCGTTTCTGTTCATTAGATGACACTGGTTAACCCCGAGAGTGAGGTCATCCTCAAGTCAGAGTTACACCCAGAATGCCCGGCGACCGACGGCGTGTCTGCGCATTTTTACAGTATCGCAGACGGAGGGTAAATCAGAGAGCGCGGGTGTCAACAGGAAGGTCCGACCGAGACAAGCGTGAAAAGGCGGCGTTGTTAATTGAAGATGATAAAGAAAAGCTTCAGGACAATAATGGAGAGCTGCTGTTTTTACGACCTTGTGAAAGCTGCTTTAATCTCATGTTAGTTTTCAGCCGATGTACTTGAGGAGTTTCTGCTTTGATGCAAGCGAACAAAGGATCCCAGTGAGGAATCTCTTGGATCGCTCGCTCTTGAGCTTCACGCACCGAGACCTGAACAAAAGAGGAATGCAAACACATTGTTCCTCCCACCTACTGAAATTACTTGTGTTAAGTGAGAGCGGATTTAGTTGGATATTTGCAGACTTTCTGGAGTGAACGTGCTTTCGTCCGTGCATATCTCTGGACTGCCTTTTCGTCAGGACCTAATGCTTTCATTTGGATCTTCTTTTTCTCCTTTAGCTGCAAAATCAAGCTCAGATTTTCTGTTCAGATCCTCCCTTTAAATTACAGTCGTAATAAAGAGGCATTTCAGTCAATATCTAACAGATTTTTCCCCCCAATGAATTATGCACAGAGACGGCTCTAAAAAGCAGACATTTAATTATAATCGTGCAAATATATGCCACTTCTATTAATACCATGTGTATCATGCATGGGATACGAAACATATTGAGTCATATATCGGAGGATCACATTTTTTTTCTCCTTCACATTATTGAATATGCACTTTATGAGCCTGTATGCCAGAGTCCACACTAATGGGGTTGTAATTAAAACCATGTCACTGTGATGGAGGGCCCAGCTTTAATAGCATGAAAGCTGTCGGCTTGTTTCCTCCTGAGCCAGCAAATGGAAATAAAGACAGTCAATCAAAGTGTGTTGCAGCTACTTGCAGCACAACTCACCGAGAAATCGGACATATTTTGTACAATAACATTAAAGAAATATTGACTCAACGATCATAAGATTTATTTGAATCGCATGATGTTGTTCTAAACCTCCTGAGAAAGTTGTTGTCCCGGGCTTGAAATGATTGCTTAAAGTTTTTTTTTTATTTGCCGTCCAAAAGAACCACGTATATTCAACGAGCGATGATTTGCCAGGAGAAAGTGGCTTTAGTTGGTTTGACAGTTTGTACTCTGGGTCAAACTCTTCACCCAGTTATGAAAGAGCCCGTTCATTGAGAAGTCAAGCCTGGGCGTTGTTTTGCTTTGCATCTGGCACACTGTCATTCAGTCTGTTCCCACCTGGCTCGCCACCAAACCCAAAATGAAAACATCAAAGTGAATCTGCAACCTGGAGTAACAGTTTTTTTTCTTCCCTCCTTTCATAAGGTGTCAGTGATGTATTATCTGCTCACCGTGTTGACTGACAGCGTCGGACAGGATGCCAGGACACAAGGTCCAAATCAAGTCAAGTTGGGTTTCTGCTAAAGTGTTGTTTATTTACTGAAACAGTGAAGAGACAGCGAGCTCCTGTTAACGAATCCAGCGATGCTCTGTCAATCCCTGGAATGTTTCGCTGCATGTTATTAAATGATGTGAACAACATTTCACTCACTTCAAACTTCTAATGTGAAAAAAACCACAACCCCGGATCCACCTGTTAATCTGGACCAACTCCAGAATGTGCGTGTTATCGTGTGAATAGCTGATTAGCTAGCTGGTCAAATAAAATGTCCTCTATTTAAAAACAAATAATATGTTGTTTCAAAAGTTATGATGAAATACTGAGTTGGTAAGTTTGACTCTAGGTGAATAGGTGTAATGTGACAAGTGTGAGCCTCAGAGGGCAGAACTGTCAGTTATTTACTTTTTGACTTTAATTAGTTTGTGCTGTCAGTGACACAGACCCGGCTGAAGGTGGTTTGTCTCACTTGTCTCACTTGTCTCACAGTGACGAGTCCTCCACAGATTTGTTGTCCTTGGAACCGTCCTGAGCAACTCAGAGCTCTTGTGGAACTGTTATTTGAATTTACACAGAGTGAGAACATGCATGGCACCAACTTAACCGACTGTGTTTTTGTTTCTATTGCAAGCAAATAACCTCAGAGTGAATCACACCACCCGGCACGAATTATCCTCAAATCAAATTTATGGCAAAAAAAAACAAAAAAACGGAGTAATCAAGCTCAAAATGTGCCTGAAATACAAATTTGTCGGTGCAAGTTGCACAGAGGAAACGGTTACTCATCCGTTTAATGCAGAAACAATCTCGCAGCAGCACACTCCCTCTCCTGAGCACATTAAACCCCCGCTGCTGGTTCCTCTGATGACGAGACGCACTGGATCGGTTGCTGTGTGCTGAACGATCATCAGCATGAACATAAATACAGCTCAAACAAATCGAGGGCAGGCGGAGGACGGAATACATTTCTGTGTAATCTTTGTCTTCGACACAGCGTGTTGATACTAATAACAATGTGTTGAGCCAGCATTGACATTAGCTCGTGGTTGTGCTGCCAATTTGTCTTCGCTGAGTGTTGAAGAGATGTGGAATGACACCACAGAAAAATACAGGAGTTCAGTGTGCAAGTGAGGATTATGTAACCTTTGGCGTCTGCGCTGCTTTTCTGTGGATTCTATGGATATTTCTGGATGTGAATAACTTTTATAAACACAGTGACAGATTTAGTTTATGACAAATATACAAAAGCTTTTTTTCAGTTACTTGAAGCTCACAGATTTGATCTATCATCTCGTATCATTTGAGCCGTCAGTAATCAGAACATCTTCAGGGTGGTGTCACTGCATCGAGCCTCAGGTGGAAGCCGCCTGGTGATTCTTCTCCTGAAGGTGACGGGGCCTGATGGAGCCCTGAGGGACTGACTGACTGATTAACACCCTGCAGCCTCTGGTCCCAGCGGGCACTAATGGCATTATGAGAGGAGCCTGGTGACGTCATCAGGCTATGTTGCCTTTGAGCTGAAGCTTTGGACTCATGACCTCATGACAATAACACATGATTAAACAGTATTGGCCAACATACAGATTAAAACGCAGTATGAACGTTTATTTTTCTATATTATTCTTCTGGATTATGATGTTTTATGTTCACACGTCGGTCTGTCAGCCTTTTCGGGGCTCTACCACTGCTGAGCTCGACCTCCCCGCTGTAACACTGAATCCTTCACACCCTTCCTTCTTTAAATGGACACTTCGCTCCTGCCTTTACCCACTTTCTGCCTCTTGTGTTTATTATTTATAGCAAAGCTCTGAGTGTGACTCAGCTCGAGATCCAGGTTTCCTTTCATGGGGCACCACTGGGTGAATTGGCCAACGGCTCACTGAAAGTCTTCCAGGCAGCCTTCCTGCAGTCAGTCGACATGGAAAAATAACATCTTGATGTTTTACTTTGAGAGCGTGTGGAGCAGGTTGCACCTAATCAGCAGATGAAGAAGCGTCAACCGAGCCACCTTTAGTCAAACTGTGCTTATTGATTACTCCTGTGCAAAACCAATGTATTTGACCAGATCGCTTCAATCCCCTGCTTCATGTGTGTTGTCACTGGCCTCTGTTTTTAGGAGTGCAAGATTCCCATCGGGAGAAGATCATAACAGTGTCTGGAGAAGGAATGGTCCAGAGCCCAGACTTCCCACATAGGTATCCCAGGAATACTGCATTGGCCTGGAGACTAGTGGCACCCAGCAACATGAGGATCCAGCTCAACTTTGATGAGAAGTTTGGTCTGGAGGACCCAGAAGACGGCATCTGCAAGTAAGAACATACCGAGATTCCACCTTGAGAGGAGAATCTCAATAGTGTCAATACTAGCATGAGCTGCTGTCGGGGACGAGTGTCCTGAATCTTACCGCCCGTCAACGTGGACAGACACAAACACAAACTGACAGATGGCTGAAGATTGTTTTTTTGATTGGCACGTAGACAGAGTAAGAGTAGTTTTTTTTACGATTTTCAAGAAAAAAATCGATGAAATTATCTCCGAATCCTTGTGGTTCTTTCTTAGGAATAGATTCAAATTTTCGCAGTCTATTCAAATTCTTGATATTTATGATAATATGGTGCAGATGTGTCAAAAGATGATGCACTTCATTAATTCTGAATCCTAAAGTCTAACTGAGTCTAACTCAACATTCTTCATGAAGAAGCAGGCGTCAGGATCATCTTCTGATTTTTT